AGGGTTTAGGGTTTTTGGTTTAGGTTGGAGCTTCTGGGGCGTTTGCGAGTCAATGAGACCACAGTGTGGGCGTTGGCTTTCGCCATGCGTGGGTAATTTGCAGAACTTATAAACTCTCCCGGTCTTCCTCCAACCACTACACCTCCTGTACCACTACCACTACTTCGAGCACGACCACGACCACCACCACCACAACCACCACCACCACCGCCACCCCTACCGCTACCACCACCACCACCGCTACCCCTACCACTACCACTGCCACCATGAAAAAAAACCAACTGTGACGACGACTGCTAAGACTGCTACTGCTTCTTCTTCGTCTTTTCTTTGGTGTCAGACGGTTGCACAGAACAAAGAAAAGCAACCTGGGCACGCATACAGCCATTCCCTTGCTCCACCCTTTCTGGCCTGACTCAACTGGGCTTCCATCCCAGACATGAAGGCATCGAGTGGATCTGGCTCACGCCTTAGATATAATGAAAGGGCCTTAATAATTAGAATAGGGTTTGGGGGTATATTATACTATGATTATAACAAGGGGCTCCTAAAATAGTATAGGTAATTATCCAGGCCCCTATATTATTGATGCGTTAAGGACAGAGAGCTTCACCTTCATGAAGACATTTTGTGTTACTGTAGAGACCTTAATATTTATATTAGGGTTTTGGGCTCCCTATAGTACATTTACAATAAGGAACCTTAACAGCAGTATTGGTAATTATTTGGGCTTGTATATTAAGTTGATGATGCCGGCGATGCCGGTTTTATGGTGAGGACACTGTGTGAGAGTCGAAACCCTAAACCCTACCCCCTCTTGCCGTGTTTTTAGGTCTCAGCCGCACGGTTTAGGGTTTAGGGTTTTAGGGTTTAGGGTTTTAGTGTTTAGGGTTTTAGGGTTTAGGGTTTAGGGATGAACTATCGCAGCAGGCCGCCTTTCTGTACAGTTCCAAGGATTTGCGGCTTGGGGTTTAGGGTTTGTCACACGTACCGGAAGTGACATTGATGTCGCGAAAGGCATTAACCGGCAGGTGCTAGATTCAAGGAGTGATGCGCTCGCTTTACAGGCAAAGGTCCCGGGAAAGTATCATCATCGCCATCCCCTGCCACAAACATCTATGACAACGACCACCTGCATCAGAAGCATCATCACCCTAAACAATCAAACCTAAACTGCCTAAATCCTGAACCGTAGAATCTAGCCCTCCCTGGTGCGATAAGCGGAGCGCAGCACTCCTTTGTAGGCGAAACCAATTTCTCGACCCCCGCCTCCTTGAACTGTGGTGCTTGAATAGACGATTTTGGGTTCGGGGCTTGGGATTTAGGGGTTTAGGGTTTAGGGTTTGGGGGTTTCAGGGTTTAGGTCTAGGGTTACACTTTGAATAGTCACCAAAGAAAACCTATGTCACCGGCCCCCGATCCGAAAGAGTACATGGAGCCAAGATGCTGCATGATCGTGCCAGTGCTCTCTGCCACCTAAAGCCAAGATCAAGGGCAAGGACCTTAAAACTCAAACCCGAATGACTATCTCGGACACCAGCCTACTGATCATTACGACTGTACCTGCTGCAACTATTGAGACATAGTTTCATTACAATGTTCACGTGCTACTACTATCTGCAAACCACAGTGACGATGACGATCATGACTGCATTCGACAATCCTCTTCCTTCTGCTCCCAGCTACCATCTTCATCACCACGGGCCTCGAATTCGGTAGCACTGAAAAACTGATCGCAACAGCAACAATCCAAGCAGTGGCCGCGCCTTCCTCCATTCCCCCACTCCGCCAGGCTTTGCACATGCGCCAAGGCCCCGTTGTCAAAATGCTCATGTAAAACATATGCCCCTAAACCCTAAACCCTAACATATACCAGTAAAGCTCTTTGCCGCTTCTGTTATCGATGTCATCGTACCCACGTCCCCCAGCCTCTCAACCTCATTCCCCACTCGCCCTTCCTGCCCGCCACACCGATGATGTGACATTACATGACGTGGCATGACTTGACATGACATGACGTAAGATCAGAGGAGATGAGAGCATATCATATCATGCCCTAGTCTGCCCTATAATACCATGTCATATCGTATGCTACGATATCATGATCAAGGATGCAGAAAGGTTTACTGTCGTGAGTACTGCACGCACCATAGGGCAAAGCCACAATTGTGGAAACTTAAAGCAGCCTTTAATCCTAAACCGTAAACCCTAAACCCTAAACCCTAAACCCTAAACCCTAAACCCTAAACCCTAAACCCTAAACCCAACCCTAAACCCTAAACCCTAAACCCTAAACCCTAAACCCAACCCTAAACCGTTTAGAC